CAGACTACTTGTCTTCTTTAAGGGGATTCTAGTTCAAATAAACAGATTTCTTTCTTCTTTTTTTAATCTGCAGAAAAATGTAATTTTTAGTAATAAAGAAGCTAATTTGAAAATTGATTGTCTGAGTATTGTCATGTCAGTTTTGTGATAATACTATTTGTCATTGCTACTTACTGTCACAAAATATCTAATATAGAGCTGCATGACGAGAAATTAAAATAGAGGAAGAATATAGAGAAAAGAGGGAGAAAATTAAAGATAGCCTTAGTGAGGGAAGGGGAATCTTCAAACTAATATTTGCAAACAGTATACTCCAAAGAAATGGAGACATACTAATTCTTGAAAATGCTGAGAAATTCCATTTCACTGAAATCAAAGCAAGGAGCAGAAAGTTCTTAGTGCTTCTAAAAATGGTCATTTCTATGTAGACACCAGAAAGAGGGCTAGAAACTTCTTTAGAAAAATATGCTAACAATTTCAATGTTCAGCCTATTCTGAAAGATAAATATAGACAAATAGTTTACATTTTAGTGATGCAGAAAAAATTAGAAAAAATTAGTAGTGCAAAATTCTGAATTTTAGTACGACCAATTGCATGCAGTTCCCACCCGAGATACATGCACGTATTATTTGTTTTACAATGGCTTCTATTTTCCACTTTTCAGTGGAGTGATGGGCAGAAGATGGTGCTTTAGGACAGAACAAGTCTAGATTTATTGTGATAGTATCACTGCTATTTTGTATTCCATTTTTCTTTAGAAACTGCACCTTGACTTTTCAATTTCAAAACGTGGAGTAGTCTTCACGATTTGACATTTGTGATTCTACTAGTAGTGTTGTAGAAATTCCTTATAAAGAAATTCTGATCTCTCTTTTTTGGTCTTTTTTTTTAATGCTAGGTCTGTGCTCTGTAATGATCCTGACATGTACGAGATCCCTGTGAATGTTCCAGTGGATACCGTAAAACTTCGTATAGAGAAAACCGTAATACGAAGGATTCCAACTGAAGCCTTTTACTACCTGGTAGATCTCAAATACCTGTGGGTAACTTACAACTGTGTAGCCAACATTGATATTAGCAGTTTCTATAACCTGAAACAACTGCATGAGCTGCGGCTGGATGGTAATCTCCTCTCCACTTTCCCTTGGGAATCACTGGCAGAGATGCCCAACCTCCGCACTCTTGATTTACACAACAATAAAGTGACCAGCATTCCCGCTGATGCTGGCCGGTACCTAAGAAACCTCACCTACCTGGACATATCCAGCAACAAGCTGACCACCCTGCCGTCAGACTTGATGGACATCTGGCCCCCCTTCTCAGAAGCTGTCCCGTCCAAGCACTCAGACATTCTGGTAACACAGAGAGTCATTTTGGGTATGTTAAACAACCTGTCTCATTCCTGATTAAAATTTACCTAGGTGTTAAGTTGCAAGGGAGAACAGGTAGGGATCCAGCCTGGGGTTCACGAGAGTGGTCTTTATCTAGGTCAGTCTTCTGGTTTGCTCTGTGGTTATTTATATATTTATTTTCTATTGGTTACAGAAAACTATAAAATGAAGGTAGAGACCTTCTTGTGTGTTGTTGTCTCAGGGCTGTGAAACTGAAGTAAAATTTACAAGATTATGGTCTACAGGAGTACAGGCTATATGGAGTATTCCATATCCATACAAATGCAGGACTTCCAAATACTGTGTTTCTGATGGCGTTTCCCTCATCACTGTATGTGGCTGTGATTGCAACCATGTCTATTTGCAACTGTTTTTTTTCCAGTGACTCACAAGCAAAATAAGTAGCTAGAGGTGATGCTTGAATGAAGTCTGTCCTGAGACGCAGTGCTGCAGGTAGTGTTGGTGGCTCAAAAGGGCCAACTCTGCTCTCACCATGACTCTTGTTGGCATTATGTTGCTCTAAAGCTGACTGATTATCCTGATTTTTTCCCAAATATACATGCTGAATATGAGACAGAGGAGTCTGATCCCTACATCTTCATAGTGTTTTTTAATAGTATTTAAGATAAGTGTTTCAGAGTAGTTTGGCCAGACTGATTTTTTTTTTTTCATATTTTTTTCCCTCTCTCTAGTACACCATCACATCAGTTCTGTTTATCTTATGCTTTCTCTCCATTTCCCAGCCTTGCAGGTAACCCCTTGCACTTCTGCAGTCTTAGAACACGGCTGGAACAGCTCTGTCAATAGTGTTCTGTGTCTATGTAGAAGTGCACATTTTGACATTTTCTTAGTGTAGCAGGTGGAAGGCAAGAAAACCAGCTGTGTCTCTCTACTACAGTAGTTCTATACCCACTGGTAAAGATCTTCCTTGCATTATACTGCCCAGTATTTCCAATTTATTGATCTAGACATCCACTATTCAGTGTTCATTTGTTCAGCTGCTTTGTTTCACAGCAGAAGCTGCAATTTGAAACTCATTCGGATGAGATTGTATGTAAATAACTTAATAGATGGAAGCAGACTGAATGAGTTCTTTGCATGCATGGTAACTGTAGATTTGCAGCGTTAATAGGATATTTACTTATCCAGGATTAAAAAAAAAAAAGAAAAAAAAAGAAAAAGGCTTTAAAAGTAAGTCCAGCTCAGTACCCCTTTCCCTGTCCCACACTGAAGGCTACAGGAGGCAGTAAAGTATGAGCTGACTGTGCTAGATCTAATCCTCATGATGATCTCATGTGGGACTCCCAGAGGCTATTTCGTTTCCTTGTCTTACATAGCCTTCAGCACTAAAAAAACCCCCAAACCAAAAAGCAACCTGAAACTAAAAAAAAAAGACACCCCCCCCCCCCCCCCACCAACAAACAACTAAAACCCCCCCCAACAGCAAAAACCCTGAAACCACACACAATCTTCTCTCCTCCCCTTCCCCCTGGCAACCGTCTGCAGGCTTTTTTGGTGCAGGAACTTTGCCAGCCTCCTCTAGTGCTGGAAAAACCTCTGGTTCTAGCATTGAATTCTCTAGAGACTTGGGGTGTGACCGTTGGATGAGTTTCATCTATGAGCTACCACTGAGTTTGAACACAGATCTCCAGAGGGGAGCACATACTGGGCTTAAAGAGTGACTTGTTTTTTTTTTTTAATGTATGTGCTGGGGGAGGCTCTGTGCAGTCATTCTAGATTCAAATCTGAGAATGCAAAATGCCGCTAGTGCTTGTCTTGCGTTGGGTAAATCTACCTTAGTTAAGCTGTGAATAATTAGCTGAATATTCTTTCATTGATAGAGCCTTCTGATGAGTATATCCCAGTGCTTTGCTATATAAGAAACTCTATAGTCAATAAGAATGCATCCACTTCCCCCAGAGATTAGGAAGTGCCGTGCTTTTTATGTCCTGGGCTATTTTGACAAGCTTAGTTAGTCTCCACTAAGTGTTAGTTTTATTACCTTTATTACTGGCGCTTGCAAAATTGTAGTTACATCGCTTACACTTGCTGCCAGAGACTTGTCCTTAGGTTGCTGTTGATGGGCTGTTAAAAAGCAGTGTTTCAGGAATGAATGGTTGATAGAAACTGTCAGACTAGATATATGACCTAGGAATTGAGATGTCTCTATAAAGCTCCAACCATAGGAGATGTCAGCTTAGAATGACAGGAGCAAGATGTGCTCTGTGACATTGCTTCCTCTCCGACCCCCTTCCTGTCTCTACGTGGAAGAAAGGTGTCCCAGAGGTACTATCCTCCTCCTATGAGGTGGAGATCAGGATCACAGAGGTATGTGGTCAGGAAAGATTTTGAAGAGACCTCTAGCCTGGTGGGATGCAGATCCAGATGAACTGGGCAGTTCTGGTTAAGTCAGTGGTGTTCTTAAAGCTTGCAGCCAGACCGTTCCAGAGTCTTCTTTGGTAACCTCTTCCAATGCTTAACTATCAGGGTAGTGAGAAAGTTTCTCGTAATATCTAACCTCAATCTCCCTTACTGCAAACTAAGCTGATTACCTCTTGTCCTACATGAGATGAACATGCAGAAAGCCTAATTACCATCGCTTATGGTAACCTTTCATAGACTTTCCTTCCTTGTTTGTTACTTTAACTAATCTTTCTTTCTCCAGTTTCTTACAAACTGAGAGTTTTATGGTTTTTTAATTAATTTCCTATCATAGTTACTGATTCTCTTTGGGCTTTTTTTTTCTTCTTTTTTTTTTTTTTAAAAAAGTTTTCCTTTAAAATGTGATGCCCACAATTACATGCTTTGGTGCTCAGTTGTGTCCTATGTGCTCCCACAGCTGTTCTCTGTGGGAACATTCAACCTCCCCTGTGTACCTGCGTGGAATTGTAACTGCAGCCAGAGCTCTGCTAGAAGCTGGAGCAATAAATGCTGGCTTTGTCCTGTCAGGAAAACAGCAGTCAGGTTGTACTTAGTGTAAGCAATTATGGCTTGAGCTGGTTTCTCTCCTAGTTCTGGCAAAACAAGGTTGTCACTTGTATTTTATTAACAAGATCAACAACAGCTAAGCACCAAAATCAAATGTTTGTGCACATATATTTTTTTTAACACCAGAAGGCAATTTTATCTTCAGTGTCTTGACTGAGCATCAAGACAGTTTCATGCAAGAAAAAGTTCAGGTTCCCCATGTTTACTTCAAGGACTCTTGAAGGAGCCATGAACTACTTTTGCTAGGGGACAGCATCTCCTTATTCCATTTTGTAATCTCTTTACTTAGGGTGTTGGGGGTTTTTATTACCTCTCACTAGATGATGCTCCTCTGTGTGGACACTCTGCTAAATGAGAGGCTCAGAGAATCACCCCTGACTCTATCGCGAAGTGGCTCACTCTGACCCTCAGCTAGCTATAAAGAGGTCAGCTAGATGAGTCTAGCTGCATGTAGAGGTGCCAAAAATTTTAAATGCTACAGGTTCATTAGGCTTCCTACTGTTATACTGGGCCATTGGGTAGACGCTGCTTTTCCTGAAACTACTCCCTAGTAATCACTGGGTGTTGGAAATGCTGGGACACAGTGCAGGAAGTGGGCTTTCCTCTTCAGAACCAGGAATCTGAATTTTCGTAGCTTCAGTTGGAAGTGGGTAGGTTGGCCCAAGCTGTGGTGAATATTTCCGTTGTCCCAAAACTTGAATATTTCACACACCGCCATTCTACAGCAACTAAAAATCAGTATATTATACAGGTTACGGTCTGAGACTGGTCACTGATTTACAAAAGAAATATCACTTGTAGCTATTTTGAATTCTAACGTCCATATTGACACAGCATGAGGAAAACCTGCTGAGAAGACTGCAAAAATATGCATGCACAGACACACATATATTTGTCATTGTACATGCAAGCATACATATAAATATGCTAAATCTAGAATAAAAAAGGATATTTAGAGCAGTTTATAATCCATATTTAATATTAAAATACACTGCATTAATATTTGAAATGTATAAATATTTATCAATGTTTGTTTGGCCTTGATTAGTATTTCTTAGGTCAACAAGCTGCCTCAATATTTCTACAAAAATATCCAGGATTTATAAAGATTTGGTATTAACTTTCAGAATGCCCTTTGTAGTTTGGAAGCTAGGTTTACATCCCTGTTTCTGTTCTCTTCATTAGCTAACTGAAGTACAATCAAATTCAGTGTTTTATCCTTGATTCCAGCTCAATAGTGCTTTCATCTTTTCATCTTGTGAATTCACATGACTCGATGACTTACAATGGCTGTGCAATTTTACTAAAAATAATGTGAATACTGTACAATATTGGCAAGACACATATAAATAGAAGAGATGAGTTGTGGAGGTGAGGAAGGAACTCCTGTAGCTGTGTCTGTGTGTTTATGTAAATCCCGCTTCTTTAGCCAGCCCCACTGGGAAGCATGATGGATAGATGAGGTGAGGTGACTGAAGTAACTCTTTCTTTGCACTATAGCACAGAAGTTCAGAGTCTTCTGAGACTACTGCTTTTTTTCTGCTGTTGAAACCAGGCCTTCAGAATGATCTGAGGTAGTCAAACCTGTGTCCCAGAATGGACTATAAAACTATCTAATCTAAGGGCTATCCATCTTTTCTTCATCTTTTCTTCTATTTTGTCAATTTCTGATAATTAGTGTAACAACTTTAGGTCTTCTTTGGACTTTAGGTCTTCTTTGGAGATTATACCTATTAGGAAAAAAATTTCACTGAAATGGTTGTCAAGCACTGGAACGGACTACCCAGGGAAGCGGTTGAGTCACTGTCGCTGGAGATATTTGAAAGATGTGTAGATGTGATGCTTAGGGATGTGGCTTAGTGTTGGACCTGGCAGTGCTCAGTTTACGGTTGGATCTGATGATCTTAAAGGTCTTCTCCAACCTAAATGATTCTATGATTCTGTTTGAAGGGCCTTTGAGTGCTGCTAGTAGTGTTAGAAACAACACTAAATCCCATCCTTTCCTGCAATAAAGCTTGTAGAAAGGTCACAGAACAAATATTCTCAGTAGCGTTCCATGTGAGTGAGAATGTGCTGCCTGGTGTGCGGGACGGGAGCCCTACTGATGCTGCAGATCTCTCCTAATTAACGCTGTGGACCTGGCGTTCCTTCTCTGCCACCTGCTCTTAGCACCGCTGTCCCACAGTTCTGCCCTTCAGAAAACCCAGAGGCCGTGCTGGAAGTTCACACGTGTTTTAGCAGCATTTGTTGCAGAGGTACTCTGGCAATCAAGGCCTTGTTTCAAGGGGATCCTTTCTTCCACTCTTATACCTTAGGGGAATTTAATTTTCGCATGCTTATATAGTCTCTCTCTTAACATAGTGAAGAAAATTGATCACTTAAAGCAAGTGGTAATGAAAAAAAGATAATTAGAGGAATATTGTCTCTAACTACAAACTAAAGAAGCTTCCTAATTTAAAAGATGAGCACAAATAGTTATGTTCATGTACTTGATTGGAGAGACTTTTTATGAGCACAAACAGTTGATGTGCCTAGACATATGGAAAATGTTTGGACGGTATCTCTTTTGCTTGTGAATATACGTATTAAGTTCTCAGGAAAGAATAATTATATTATGGAGATGTTTTTCCTTTTTAAGTTTCCTTTTAAGTTTCCTTGATTGTCCTTCTCCATTCCAGCCGGTATTAGGTAGTGAATAGATGCAAAATCTCTTATGTCTGCAAGGGGTGAAATTGGATTGTGATGTCAAAGTCATAGAATCTCTTCAGGTCAAGTCTTGTTTTAAAGAGCAGGGATTAATTGGGGTTTACCGCAGTTTTAACCAATCACTGCCATGGTGCTTAAAATAACCTAATCTTGCTCAGGTGATAAAAGGAAGCAGCAGTTAATTATTCATATATTGTTTCATCTACAGGTTTCTTCCAGAATAAAAATCTCATTTTTTCCATTAGCTGTTTTGATAATTCCTAAAAATAGCACATTCAACAATATTATCAGGTTTTTCAGGGCTTTTTTATTTTAATTTTGCTTTAATGTATGTGACTCATCCATTGCTCTAATCAGTAAATTCAATAGCAAGGGGTTCTTGCACACCATCCCTCATTTCAAACTGTAAGTTGGGTTTATTGTTAATACTTGAAAAAAAAGAAAAAGGTATGTCCACAAGTATAAGTCAGATGAGAAAATATTTGAACTCATGAGTGATATGCTGTGTGGTGTTTTACCTGGTGAAGACGCTGTTGCTCTGTGAAGGTCAACATGGTAGAGTAATCAATACCAGCTGATGTTTTAGACTTATATTCCTCAGAAGTGGCTACTCTCTTTCACTCACCCTCACCAAGAGGGAGAAGCCTCTCAAAGACTTTGGAATCAAGAAGAAAAGGTTACAGCCTCTAACAGGAGAGGAGACACAGCAATTTTGTGTGTCATCATAAAAATACTATAGCCACCGGCTTTTTTCAGGCTACTTCCCATTTTCTACTCTTCTATTATTCTCTTTGATTTTATTCCAGACTGTCCCAAAGTGAAGCCAGATCTCTAAAAATATTGATATAGTTCACAGCCAGGTGAGAATTTTATTGGCCTAAAGGTTTTCCTTCTTAGCCTTTGTCCTTTTTCAAGGGGCAGAGATGTTGCTGTAAGCTCTAAACTCTTAAATACTCATGTTCTCTGCAAGCATTCAAAAAGGAATCTAAGAAGATGAAACTGTAAAATCCCAAAGGACTAAGAGCACAGGCCGATGACAAGATGCAGTAGCTGTGAGAAGCTATCTTTTCAGAAGGCACAGGCAGGTGAAAATGTATCATCAGCCTGAAGATATCTTCTCAAAGTATTTGCTCCTAGATAAATAGCAAACTTAAGCAAAGGTAGCACTGGTATATTACTATGCTCCTGTAAACTTCTGTGAAGAAATAATTTAGCTTAATAAACATTCATACTGTTATTTCTCACATCTCCAAACACTCCCCCACTGATCAGCTGAACAAAAAAGACAAATTGAAAGAGGAAATATTAATTTAGAATAGGTCTGTGGTTCTCCCTGATTGTACTTGGTGGTAGTCGTACATCATACTGTAATCACAACATCCATATGTTGACTGACAACATTTATTTTTATTTTTCCCCTCTCTTTCCTCCCTGCTTCAGGTTTGCAGGACAACCCCTGGTTTTGCGACTGTCGCATTTCAAAGCTGATTGAATTTTCCAAAATCGTGGACAACTCACTTGTACTTCTTGATCCACTGGTTTCATGTAGTGGACCTGAGAGCCTGGCAGGAATATTGTTCCAGAGAGCTGAGTTAGAGCAGTGTCTTAAACCATCCGTGATGACATCAGCAACAAAAATCACTTCCCCGCTGGGAAGCAACGTTCTGCTACGCTGTGACGCGACTGGGTACCCAACACCACATCTCACTTGGACTAGGTCAGACAATATACCAGTGAACTACACAGGTATAATTGCTCTTTTATAGGAAATAGGAGAGCCTGATATTGTTGGGTTGCTTGTGCTTTGAGATCATTATGAGTAACGACTATTGCACCGAGATGGCAATTGTGTCTGTGCAACGGCTGTTATTAAATTATTTGCCTAGATTTTGGTCTGAACAGGTCCAACAGACTGTTCTGATTCTGGATGTGGTCTGTTATAAGAATGATGTGTGTGAAGGGGGGAAATGGTGAAGCAAGGAAGGATAAAAGAAAGTGGAGATTGGAATCGTTGTGCCCTAACTCAGGAACTGAAAAGTAGAGAGTTTGTCACTGGAATCTACGTTTTGTTTCAAAATATTCATGTTAAGGCTAGTGGGGACACTTAAACCAGCTTTGTAAACACAAAATTTTCCAAAATCATGTTTTCTATGTTAATTGCAAATATTTATTGCTTATTTGCAACACCCATTTGAATGCTGAAGAGGCTGTGATATCATTCTAGCTGCTATGATAGATATTTATGCAGTAACATAAAAGGTTTCTTGCTAATGCCAAGTAGTTAGCAGTAACCTTAAATAGTAGGTCTGAGGACAGTAACAGTCCACAGTACAGAAATATCTTAAGGCAAATGTAATTTCCAAAAATGTTTTAAATAGCTAGTGTGTTCACTGTCAGTTGAAGCTGGTGAGACTTGTATTTCCTAGTCACTTATCAGCTTTAAAAAGTTTGATTTTTGTTTATGTGGTTTTTTTTTATTTGATAAAACTGCTAATTATATTGTAATTCCTCAAGACATTTACTTCCATTTTGGCCCAAGCTGATCACTTTTCTGCAGTAATAAAACATTGTAGGGAGTTCCATAACTTATGGGTTTTCTTTCTGCTGGTTTTGTTTGTTGTTGTGTTCTGGTGGGGGTTTTTGTTGTTGTTGTTGGGTTGTGGTGTTGGGTTTTTTTTAATACATGTGCTTCTTTCTGGCAGGAATAACTTATGGGAAGAAGTATTCTAATAATGTTTACTTCCTCTTTAGATCTCTTTTAAAATGTTTTGCTCTTTGCATTTTCCTGTAGTAATCCAAGAAACACCTGGAGAAGGTGTCAGATGGTCCATAATAAGCTTGACAGGGATTTCATACAAGGACGCAGGAGAATACAGATGTAAAGCCAAGAACTTGGCAGGAATGTCAGAAGCTGCTGTTACTGTCACAGTGGTTGGTGTGGTTACTACAACTGTGTCACCACAGAAGTACGTAAGGAAGCAAGAGGCCGAGAGACAGAATACCACTCAGGAGGAATCCAGCCAGGAACCTGAGCGGACAACCACACCTCTACCCACCACACCAGTCACCACACCAACCACCACCACACTGCTTAGCACGGAAAGATCAACGAGCATCAGGTTTACTGACAAGAAGCAACCTAGGCCCATGCTGGATGGAAAGAAAAATTTGAAGGCAGTGACCAATGGAAGCAGAAAGCAGACGGGGGAGATTAGCAAGAAAAGTCAGGAGACCTTGTTGAACACAGCAGGTATGGCTGAGCAAAACATTACTGTAAAGAACCTAAGAGTGATCAGTGAAACTGATGAAAGAGTGACCTTAACTTGGAAAACTGTCAATGCCACAGGCAACTCTGCAGTGACGGTGTTATACTCCAAGTACGGTGAGAAAGATATGTTGCCTCTGAGCACTGATTCTAGCAAAAATAAAGTCACAATTGATGGTTTACAACCTAGTACTCAGTATATGGCATGTGTCTCACCCAAAGGAGTGCCACCTACGAAAGAGCAGTGCATTGTCTTCTCCACTGATGGATTAAATGAGGAAAGCAGCTCTCAGTTTTCTATTTTGATAGTGGCCAGCAGTGCAGCATGCGTGCTTGTTTTACCTTTGATATTCTTCTTACTCTACAAAGTTTTAAAACTTCACATCAAACCAAAAACTGCAAAGGAAGCTGACCTTGCAAAAGAGACCTATGTGAAATTTGAAACACTGTCTCTGAAGCCTCGAACAGTGAATGCAGGAGACCAGCTCTGGGCACGAAGGTACACAGATGAGTCAGAAAGACTTCTCCTGTGTTCTAGGTCAAGCATGGATTCTCAAATGACCTTCAAAAGTGAGGGCTCTAGGTCTGAGTATCTGTGTTGAACATGGGTGAAGGTGGAGGACATGGAATATACAATAGGTGAAGTTAATCCAAAATGATACTGCATCTGGAAGCAGGTTGGTGCTAGGTGGTGGTCAGAACATATCTGGTGTATTGCAGTTTACTGGATGGGTAAGGGTGGTGGGTAGGAGGGAGAATAGAAAAAATTATTGCCTATTTATTTTCTTTTTTTATGTTTGTGACTTTAGGCATGAAGGAATGTTGTTCTTCAAAAGACAAATAACAGCATGAAATGGTTGCCTGGTTAATGATCTATTTTTTTGTTTTCATTAAAACATCATTCTGGTTTTTTTTCTCTTGTTTTACTATATAATGTGTTAGTTTAATATATAAAATATTATTCACAACCTTTATAAAAACCATGTACTTACAAATAGAAAAAGGTTTACTTGTATTGAGGTGAAAACTTTTTTTGAGTTTTCATCTTGCATCAGCTTGGGCTTTGAGATGTCATACATCTCTGTTTGTATGGTGTCTTGGACTGGAAGTGATCTCAGGTCAATCAAAACTGGAGCTTATGGACACTTGGAGCTTATGGACGCTTGAAGCTTATGGACACAGCTTGTGGACAATTTAAATGTACAATGCACATCATATTGTCATTTTGCAGATGCTATGGCAAAGGAGTTTCATTAGTATTGTGAAGCTCAGGTAAGATACCATTATGACTAACTCTGTGAGAGATACTAGGTATTAATAATGTTAATTCATATAAAATGATCTTATTGCAAAATCTCAGCCTTAGAATTGACTTGGATGCGTATGTCTATATACCTCAGTTACAGAAATCTCTGTACAGAAAAAAAATGGTATTGTGTAATACAACAGACACTCTTATATACCTATGTATTACATAGGTATATCACAATATTGTGCACTACACTGTAGTAATATAATACATTTTGAGATACACTAAGAGGAGGTCTTGTCCTCAGGTGACGTTGCATATGTAATGAAGTGTAATGAGCATCGTGGAAGTTAATCGTGATCACGCTTCGCAGTGTTTAAAAAATCAGGTATTAATACTAATGATTAATGCAGAATTGCTTATTAATGATGATAATATATTTTCTATTGTGAGGCTCCTATTTTGTTGCCTGAAGTAAATAACAGGACTTTTATCATTTTAGGTTCAGATATTTTGGTTAGGAGTATGTCTGAACTGAGAACCACAGTTATTCCTAAAAATTACAACTGTGTTGTTTTCTTGGACCTTTCTATGACTAGAAGAACTATTTGTTTTCCTAGGAAATTGAGAATCTTCTCTTCTCAGAGGCAGAAGTACTACTCAAAGCTACAAACCAAAGAGTAGTTAGTTAGCTTTAAAATAGTGGCTTTTTGGTGTCACTATTGCAGGATTAGATTTTGCCTGCTCTAATACTAGAAAGCTTATCTTGTAAGGCATAGCTTGGTGAGAGGAAAACATCTTGTCAAAAATACTCCAACATAAAAACACAGCAGAAAAAGAACATATTGAAAAATCGCCATAGCATCTACATGATGATGCTTGATGGTCAGCAGTAATAAATAGAATGAGCATTTGAAACCATGGGAGCTGTAGTAAGGAAGCGAGATGTTCAGAAAGTGCAAAATTAACCTAGCTACACAGGCTTTTAGAATTAACCTCAGTGTTACTAGTACGTGTGGTTAAAAAGTGATCTTTTTCCTTTTTCTGTGGATAATTTTGATTGCAGGGAAAATGTTTTTAGTTTTCCAAGTAGAATATCCTTACTTTGGCAGGTTTGGGGTTTTTTTTTAATTTGGGTTTTTTTAGGGAAAGCAGATTCTTTCTATATCAAAACCAAGGTTCATCTGACAAGCAGTTTACGACAAACTAAATTTTTAACAAGACTAGAAGTGTTACAATATTTGCCTTCTATTTTCCATATAGGTAGTGTAACCATATATTTTACATGTAGATAGTTTTTGCTGAAGTTGTTTCCAGTTAAACTCACCATATTTGTCATTAATGAGAGCAATTATTTTAACATTTATTTTTTAATTCCTATAGAATATTTGATTTCAGGTTTCAGAGCTTTGCAAGAAACTTGAATCTAGTTCTGAAGTTTGAAAGTGCTGTCACCCAACTTGTAGGTGATACATTAATATATCAGGCTGAGGTGATGCAAAGCTCATGAGAGAACTCCCAAATGTGAAACCTTTTGGTTCCACTAATCCATGTGAAATTTGCGTGTCCTGAAGTTAGAAATTAATCTCTATGACCACAGATACTATCAGTATATCAAAGGTGGAATGTTTTATAAAGGGCATGTTCTTTCAAGGTAACGTGAGGTACATTATTTTTTCCACAGTTTTTGAGACAATGGAGTTGTTAAATAACCCATACTTGCTTCTGTACTTCATGTCAAAACAGCAAATTTGATGGAGAATGTTGGTAGGAATGTGATGTAAAGGCCAAATCACACAATAAAGGCATGTGCCCTGTATCACAAAGGATTGGTTTAATTAAAGAGCTGAAGAAATACTTCTGGTAGCAGATGCAAATTTTTATACTGTAATTGTTAATATTAATGATAGAATCATTATGAGAGATTTTTATCACCTGTAATTAATTTGTATAGCATCTTCTGGAATGCAGTACGGAATCAACTGCCACTATGAGCAGTGATGACTATAATCTATGCTTGCCTGGTAGGAGAATTTGGAGAGGATTTGAGCAATATGTATGCATCGCCTTTTGTATATTTTGCACTTTATTAGCTCAGTTCATCCTGCATTTCACCAAAAATGTTAGATCGCTTTCTATACATTGCCTCCAAGGAGTGTGTCAAAATTGGATGGTTAATGAAATAACAGAGTAATGTTTGCTGGATTCCAAAGAGGCCTCATTTTTGCTTAAAGCTTTGGTGGGCCTCAGCACTTGGCATAATTAACCAGAGTCTTGGCTTCACTGTGCACTTACTAAACCAAACTTTAGGCATCCATACATCTGTTTTAGTCCTTGCCATTGATCACAGTGGACTTTGTATTCCTTGCACTGTCATGAGGTTCTCATACTTTTCTCAGATGGGGGATTAAGAGAGAAAACTCTTTGGTGTGTACCATGAAAATGTTATAGCAGAAACATTCAGATGGGCTATATCTAAAAGTCTAAACAAAGGATATTTAAACAAAGGACGTTTAAAACTCATTACTGTTTCAAAGAAGTAATTGAAATAGTTGTTTTGATGTGAAAATAAAAGATTGGTTTTGTACGTGACTGTATTTGCCTGACCTATTCATCTTTGTTTATAACTTTAGAAAATACATGATGAGTCTAGCTGTGGGGACAAGAGGAAATCTGAGAAGAAATGAGAGAAAATACAAAAGAGAAGTCTGAGAAGCAATGGAAGGGTAATATCCTAGAAAGTGCTGCCACTGCATGCTACAAAGTCTTTTGGTTGCAGTTCTGCTGTGTACATGGCAAGGGGACTGGGGTGTCTGCAGACAGGTAGCTATAAAAGGATGGATGAAGATACCACTAACTTATTGCAAGGAGTGGAGCTCTACACATGCCCAGCTTCGACAAGGTGGGGGCAGCTATAAAGTTGGAGTGTTGAACTGAGGCACTAGAGGAATTTGAAGAATGTCCTTGAAGCTGTTCTTAGAGCCTGCCTCTGTCACAATGAACATTGTGAGAGCTTTTTGAAGAGCATGGCCTATAACATGAAAAGGGGAGAGCGAGTAGTTTATGCATTTATTACAAGAAAGAGGGGTTTGCATTGGTAGCAATTCTCTGGTTAGGGTGTGAGTCCTAGATATAATATACTACATGATCTATGGTTTTCTTTTAGAAACAATCAATTTCTTAGATATATGACTGGGTTATCTAACTGGATGTAGACTGGAATGCTCACCTGAGTGTCTTCTCACCAAATCCATTGCATTATTTGGGTGTTAGGGTCAGCCACAAAAGCTCCAGGCTAGCACTCTCACTTTCCTTTGAAAACAGGAATCTTTTAGTATCTTTCTCTTTTCTTTTTAAATCAGTGAAAAAATTTTCCTCTGAATCTCAGAAGATCTAAATTCACATCCGACTGGAGGCATGACTAATGTGTCATCTTTATAGATTGCTTTTTAGAAATCTGAAAGGCTTTCCTGCTAAACAGTGGCAAAATGAAGCTGAACTGTCAGTACAAAGCAGCCTGCAGCAAGTAGAGGATTCTTTTTACAAAGCTGTGTACATTATTCATCAGTATTCAGGATGGGAATCTTTTCAATTAATAAGACAGAAAGCAACTATGAACAAAAGGATATTGTCTTTTCCAAGACCTAAGTAAAAAAGGTGAACTTTTTTCAGAGTTTCTGTTTTTATGAAATAACATCCTACCTTTTGTTTAGAAAAGCATGTGAAATTGCTCCAATCTCTGCAGCAAGCTCACTAGCACCTGTCAGGTACGTAATTTAAATATATTTGGTCCAACTTAAGGCCAGGTATTTTTGGAAGACATTTAATTGTCTTAAGAGTATTATGAAAGGAGTTGACTGTACAAACAACTATAACCTCTAATAAAAATGGAATACCAGTTTACCAACAATGTGCAAACTGCTACATTTTGGAGAAGATATTCTGACAAGAAAACGTCTTATTCTAAAACATAATGAGTAATCAAATACTTGACGCATCTTTTTAAGGAGTAGTCTAAGGAATTTAGTAGTGATGTGCGTCGGTTTTGTGGTTTTGGTGCTTTTGCGGGGGGGGAGGGTGGTTGTTATTGAGCTAAGGTAACTGAGAGAGGAGTTGAAATAATTTATGTCCAGAAAAATATGCTTCCTCCCTTAATACAGGAGAAAGAACTTTCATATATGAATGTATTGAGGGCAGGAATAGAGTATTCCAGTGTTGCCTTAGACAGAGTTCAAGTAGTTTCTTCTGAGGACTCTGGTGCTGGCCCAGATGGAAATTAAGAACAATCCAAAATGGCAACTGCTAGTTGATTCAGTGCAACTATAATTTAAATTCAATTCATTGCTCGTTCAG